TCCTTGCCTCCAAGACGGCTCAATAAGCCGTCTGCCGAGGCCCTATGTATATCAATATTCAACAAGTTTGTCCTCACATTTGATGTTGTTTAATTTTTTTAAACTTTTCTCCCTGTTATAGGAAAAATAACTGTTTCTGCAGTTGTTACTCAGTATTTGTACATCCTGAAACAGTTTTCAGATTCACTGCAGGAATACACACTGGGAGTGTGTGGCACTAATCACCACACTTTTCATGAGGAAAATCAATGTGTATTTTTGAAGAGAAAAATGTGTTTAAATGCTAAAGGATGTGTGAATGTTGGGCAAAAATTGTGCGTAACATCCTTTCTGTTATTCTTCCTGACTGGGTTTCCTAAGGGTTGGGAACCCCATCCTTTAGGGGGGGGGCTAGGATAAAAATAACAGCAATATTTTTTCCCATCTTTCCTATTAACCCTTGTTTTTATGGGATTGCAACCTCTTGTTGCTCACCCGTAGCATATTCCAGTACCTTGGTGCTTGCTCTTGCCTTATTTATTTTGGGCTCTATTTCTGTTTTCACTGTTATTAATATGAACTGTTTTCAGTGATCACTCTTTTGTTAATACTGGGGTAATCAAAGCAATTTTGTTCTTTTAAAACATTTCATATACTTATGTTGTAAACTTCAGCTAGCAGCAAAGCCATTTTCTAGCAAAACTGACAGAAGTACACCAACTTCAGTAAAATTGGACCAGTTCATTCATTGAGTTATTGACCCCATTCTCTCACCTGGCCTGCCTGCTTATATTAATGAACTTAATAACACTCAGATTCCTAATTTTGCAGAATAATGACTACATAAAGAGCCCTACTTTTACTCCTACAACTGGACGCCATGAACATGGACTTTTTAACCTATATCATGCGATGGATGGGGCCAGCCATTTGCATGTTCTGGTTGTCAAAGAATATGAAATGGCAATCTATAAAAAATATTGGCCCAATCACATCATGCTTGTTCTGCCAAGCATTTTCAACAGTGCTGGAGTAGGTAGGTATATGCTGGAATAAGTAACTGGTATGAATGAAATAAGGTAGCAAGTTTTAATTGGCTGGATGAATGTGATAATTAACTAAAACTGTGTCTATGGGTAAGATCATTAGATCCCAAACCTCCCTTGAATCAACCATGTCTACTATCAGTCCACCCCCACCCTTATGTTTCCTGATAATGGAATTTCAACATTAACATGTTAAGGGAGGCAGAAACTGTTTGGACATTGGGCAAGGGAGATCCTGTAGGCCCAGAAACACCCTCTTAGTGGCCAAACTACTGCATCCTATGTGCATTGAAGTGTATTTTACCTCTCATTTCCTTCAGAGGTTTTGCTAGTGTGCATATATATTGTGTTCACATTTGATTTATTCATGAATTCACAACAGAGCAGTTGTTTTCTCAACTAAATGTTCTTTAATTGGCTGACAATCCTGCAATTATATGGATATTGAATGTGGTATAGAGAAAGGGAGATATTGTTTATATAACCAAGACTTTTAGATGAATTGAAGTTCCCAGTTTTCCCACTACATTTAAAGGCTTACTTCTTTGGTTTGCTTTGGTTTTAGGTGCTGCTCACTTCCTGATAAAAGAGCTATCTTATCATAATCTGGAGCTTGAGCGAAATCGACAAGAGGAGCTAGGGATTAAACCCCAAGATATCTGGCCTTTCATTATCATTTCTGATGATTCCTGTGTAATGTGGAACACCATAGAAATTGATTGTTCTGGGGACAGGAAAAGGTAAAGGATAATTTCTTTAGGGTGGTATAGACTTTGTTTTGAATTATTTAGTTCCTAATTATTTCCTCATTTTTTTGCAGCGATTACACTTGGACAGAAAGGAATATTTCCCTGAAGCAAATTATTCAGCATATTGAATCTACGCCTAATGTCACCCACTATGCCTTGATTGGGATGAGGAAGTGGTCAAGTAAAACCAATAGTGGAGAGCTCAAAGAGCCTTTCTCTTGTTGCCATGTTCATGACTTTGTCATGCTGAATGTAGACCTCACACAGAATGTGCAGTATAACCAGAACAGGTTAGCCAGATCTGATGAGGGAAACTTATACTTTAAATAAACCATATATACTTGTTAGATCTAAAGAGCTGTAATATTCTTCTGTTCTTCTCTTGGTTTAGGCCAGGGGTAGGCAACCTTTCCCCTTTAAGGGCCAAGGGACTTCAGCTCCCAGAAACCTCAGCCATGTTGGCCAATAGTCCCATGTTGGCCAATAGCTCCTGGGATTCTGGGAGCTGAAGTCCCTCGGCCCTTAAAGGGGAAAGGTTGCCTACCCCTGGTTTAGGCCCTATGATCTCTGATAAGAGATGACAGGAACACCTGCTCCATTTACATAGCTGGGAAAATGCTTTAGCTAGAGAACCTCTGGTTAACCAGATGTTGACCCCCCAGGAGGCTAGATTATGCCTGAGGGCCAGAGGAACCTTTCTCTGGGTTGAGGGCTATATTAGGCATGACTTCATATGTAAATTTGCAATTAACCTGCATTTTTAAAAATGTAGCTCACAGGCCTTAGGGAAGTTGACAAAGATAAGGATCATAGCATTTGGAGGATTAATGCTTTCCTTCCCTGCTGTGGTCCTGATCAAAGTTGCTCCACTGAATGCATTACTTATATTGGGAGAATGTCACTCACTGGCACAAAGCATTTAACATCATGGCTAGTTTGGCTTTTAGATTCAGAGCAGTGGTATCAGAACACAGTCTGTTTTACTTTATTCCCATGCTCAGAGAAAGATGGGATATAAAATAAATAAATAAATAAATAAATAAATAAATACTGCTAGGTCTTATACTTGTTCCAGTTTGTTTTATATCAGTTGACCTACTTTCTATTGTTGTTGGGACATATTCTTAATTTTTATACTATCCCCAGCATTGTGCTTTCCTTGCAGTTGGAGACATTATGGTTAATGAATGCATATTGTTTCTTAAATTCTATGTCCCACTCTTCCTCAAAAGATTTATGTGTGATGATGTGGACTTCAACTTGCGTGCCCACAGTGCGGGCCTACTAATTTGTAGGTTCAATCGGTTCAGTGTCATGAAGAAGCAAATTGCAGTGGGTGGACAAAGATCCTTTCATATTAAGTCAAAGGTGAGCGTGCATAGGTATCTTTGCTACTATTGATAAAGTAATGCATTTATGCATTCAGTAGTTTCAGTGAAAGGACCTGATGTTAGACCTTTTTTAGAGGAGAGGGTGTGTCCTGCAAAGCTTGATCTATTATTTATACATTTGAGCTGTTATTTACATGGGGTGGAAGTATGGGAGGCACCATGCCTTTAACAATGACAACCTTGTGTCAAGTTCTCTCTCCCCTCCACAACATTTAGTCAAAATCACACATATTTCCCCTTGCCTGTTAGCTGTAGCTTGTGGTGTTGAATATAGTGGAAGGATCAGTATGAAGAAATGTAATGATTGGCTAAACGTTATGAGGGTGGGCAGGATAACAATTCACACAGGGCTGTTTTCAGGAGCGGTCCTGTGTTGATTATCAGGTGTCATTCCCTATTGACATTTGGTTCCTGTAACATTAGTGCAGCAAGCACTCCTGTACCATTTATCAGTTTTCTTCCATTATTTGATAATCTGTACTACCAACTCTACAATATTCCCAGGAAGTCATGAGAAAGACTTGTGGGGAATCAAGAAACAGACTGCTGTAACTGGGATGATCTTAGCTTTGGGAAAGTAGTGAAGTTTGCAGGCCAGAAAAAGAGTTGGGCACAAATACATTTAACAATGTTCTGTTGTGTGTCAACTAAGGGCACCTGTCTATATTTCTTTTTTTAAAGATTATCTTTATTGTTTATATTTCAAATTCAGAAAGATGTTTGCATATTGAAGAAGTGAAACTTAAAAAAACCCTCCCCTAAGAACAGCCACTCTGATATCTCATAGTAGGACTTAAATCCTTCACATGTACTGCCTCTGGATTTCACTGTGAAATATGTGAGACTGTGGGGGGCCTGTGGGCACAGGACGGCCCCCTGTAAGAGATATAATTATTTTGAGTATGGACCATAGGATAGAATAATAGAGTTGGAACGGATCCCAAGGACCATCCAGTCCAACCCAAGGCCATACACAATAAAAGCACTCCCGATAGAGAGCTCTCCAGCCTCTGTTTAAATGAATTAAGTCTGGGTCCTTGCTTATCTCCATTGTTCCACTGGAGGAAATGGGGAAGTATTTTGTTCCACATCTTAGCTGTGCAGCCAGTGTGTCTGGTAATAACCTGTAACTAATTAAGTTGTGGCCATGTTCGCCCCATTTCTGACAGTGTGCAGTTAAATACCTTTGTCCCCATCTTCTCTGCTTCTATAAATGCTGTAGGAACATGAATTTAAGAACAGTAACCTCTGAGTTTCCTTTCCTTAATCAATGATCTTGTGATATTGTTGCTTGCGGTTTTCCTTTTTTAAGTTACTTTTGGTTGTATTCTTTTGCTAGCTT